GGAGTCTTGTTAAGTTTAATTTAATTCCGACATTATGATTGCCCGAAAGATCTAAAACAGCATATATCGCATCTCATTGCTCAACGTCGCCAGACTGGATTGTCTTAAAATTCAAACTTCATTTGGCCAATTCGTCATGCAAGTCGAATAAATGCCTTGTTTGGCATTGCTTTTGGGGTCCATGAGTAATTCAACAATGTGCCTGAATGCAAACCTTTTCCGGAAATATGACATCAAACAGCGTGCCTCATCCATTCTCTCTAGCCCACTGTTAAGGAAGTCCACGTGGCGATTTCCTGCGAAAAATTCTCGCGCGGTCAATCAGAGCGAAGAGAGAGGAGGTAGTTTCTCTGCATTTCTAAATGCCCAGAGTCAATCAAAAGTGGAGAGGAAGCACTGAAATATTGAACAGCCTGATTATGCAAGTTGATGCTTGTGAATTGAATAACAGAACATAAACCTATAAGTATAGTCAAAGATGCTCCGTTGTCACGTGTTGAGCGAAAACAATTAGCATACACTGATGTCTGAGCACTTACGAAAACTGACCAACATTAAACACGCATCTAGAGCATACTTTAAAGTTTTGGAGTGTTTGAACAGAACAAAGAAAAAAACAAAAGTACCTTGACGACCCATTTTTCAAACTTGACCATAGCACTTACTCACACCTTGCACATCTGAAACGAGGGAACCCGTACCTGCTTGACTAGTGAGCAGCACCAACGTGGCTAGCACCATTAGCTTTACTACTTCTAAGGAGCCGGAGACGCATCACACAAATATTTATCTAGAAGCCAAATAACAGTCTTGGTGCTGCGCTTGAGAGCTTGAAAGGCCAGACCTTGAACCATCACATCAGCGTAGTCGTCTAAGACGTGAGCAAAATTTATTGAAACCATATTTTGATCAAATTGCTTACAACAACCCACTTTGACTTTCATTCCTGTTCCATTCAGATAAATGGTGAAAAAAAGTGCACTTGACTTTATGTTTATCTCCATGATGACATAAAAATGAAAACTTGTATTACAAACAGCACGAGACTGGAAGTAGGTTGACGGAAGGAGTTGAAATGGGAACGAGGGTATTCACAAACACCGTCACCCTACAGTGTAGCCCTAGGCTTCAGTTGCGGGCCCTATCTCGAGACCTTGAATGGCTGCGGCTTCGAGAACGGCTGACACGGCGCTGATTGCCACTGCCTCCGTGCCGATGACCAGGCCTTCGACTATTACCGTTGCCGCGGCTGTTGCCCTTCACAAAAGCCCAGTCAACCAAAATCTTCTGTCCATGCAGTTCACTACCATTCAAGGCCTGGAGAGCAGCATTGGCGTCTTTAAAAGTCTCATACTCAACCAATGCATAACCTTTCAAAAAGCCGGTCCGTCGATCTAGATTGAGATGGATGTTCTTGATTTCTCCGTATTCACAGAACTTATCTCGAATGTCTTCGTCAGTAGCCTCTTCGTGGACGTTTCGAACAAATACGATCCAACCCTCGATAGCTATACAAACGGGTTACGATGAGTTAGTAAACTTACAACGTTGGGGACCCGTTGCAGAAGCATTATCATCTGTTTTAAGAGACTCGAATTCCTCCTCCTGAGCATGCGCAACTAGTTCTACAGACAACGCGAAAAATTTTGGTAAAAATGCAAAATATACCTCCTCTGAAACCCCGACCCTTGCGTTTGGTCGCCTGCTCCTTAAGACGCATGATTCCATCTGCAACGCAAAGTCATTTAAAAGGCGATTCGATGAAGGCATACACAACCGGAAGTGAGCATGAAATAGGTGTATAGGGCTAAAAATTTTAAAAACAAAAGTTCATGAAACCGCAAATCCTGAAGTTCAGAATCGTTTCTCAAAATTAAATCTAATTAGTTCCTAAGGCAGCCAACCAGAAGAAGCCACCTCACCCGCTACTTACGCCAAATCTGGGTCATACCAACCGTAAAGCTGACAAATTTTCTAATCCACTTCTACAACTGTTATAAATATTACATCTGCCACCAATACAAACGGATCAGCTAGTGTTTGCTCCCAAAAAGACCTTCAGAGACTAGACCACGCAAAAAAGTTTAGCGGAACTCTAGAAACTAAGGAAAATACCAGGTCATTCCATTTAGCAAAAAAAAAACGAATTCGAGACCAACTAAAGCCGAAGCAGCCACAAATAATGCGACAATACACATAATGATAGTGTGACAAGTTAAAAGTGTGAAGATGCACATTCTAAGATGAATGAACTACGTACGGTCACCCTCCGTATCATCCTCGAAATCATTCCCACCGTGAATCTCGACGACGTCCGCCATCTCAAGAACCTTAAATCAGCACACCAAAATCGGCGCGGGAGTGATCCAATCGTAATTATCCAGATCAGTTCACTAGGACTGATAGTCTTGATGCACTGGTTAGAAAATCTTTAGCCTTCAGGTATTCTATTATATAAAATAACGTATTTAAGAATTCTTTGCACCGTTTGGTTTGATATTTGGATGCCATATACTGCTAAAACAATAAAAACCGTGTCAAAAACATTCATTCGATTTGGTTCCACTTAAGCTGTTACATCTTCATTTGTCCCTAATTTTATCACTAACTTGAAAAACTTAAAAAATGCCTGTAGCGTCTCGAGGCCTTTCATACTGTGGAAGAAGGCGTAAGTGAGGTTAAATACATGTATTCCAAAGACGACAGGGCAAATGGGCCTGAGCGTGGCCCAAAGGTTCGACATATCCTAAAGTGACCCCCAAATGACAAGTGGCCACATAAATAAAGCATTACACTGCCTCTCTCTTCTTTTGAGCTGCGTCATTGGCGCTTCGCTTGGTGCACCTCCCTCACCAGCCATCACAACTTATTCAGTGCTGCAAGAAAGCACTCACGAGTCAACCGCGCCAGTCGACAGACAACACGAGACTGGGGAATCGTACCTGGTCCTTTGGGCAGCTTCAACTAGATCTGGAGTTACGTTCGGTCTAACAACCGGATTCGGGGCCGCCTACACATGTTGACCATTAACTGCTGCAAGGAATAGACGGTATACATCTGGTCTAAAACATACATGTTACAGGGCTAACGGGACGAGCCACTTTCCCGTTTGCGAGGAGAACCGTTGTGCCATTTCCAAAGCCTAAACGCGGATTTTGTATGGGAAACTTCGACACGAAACTTTTCCAGAGTCAGAGATTCTCCGACACCAAGATAAATGCGACTCCTTCAATTCAAGTCCTCTTTTCGCCTGTATCTTCATCTATTGCACTTCTACATAGTCAGACTTCAATCTACGCACGTATAGCTTATGAATGCCGGTGCACAACGCCAAAATGCGCTGATTAATCTTGAATTTCTCCAACAAGATGTAGGATTCCTTTGCAGTCTTGTCTGCTGGTTGGATTATAAACTTCTTGTAGGGAAAAGAGAGGTTCCGAATTTCTGGCCAAGGGAACCCGATTTTGGGGTATCTGCATGTGTTGAACCAGTGCACCATCCGATCGAACCGTTGCTCGTCGGTTTGTTCGTACTGTTCTTTTTCGGAAATCAGTCGATTAATTGGCAAAGTTTAGCAACGCAAATGTAGGATTCTTCCGGATACTATATCACTTTTAACAAACGACTACCGAAGAACAAGCCGCAGAAGGACCCCACCTCTGCTGCTGCAAAAGGCCTTCAGAAGCACTTTATATAAAAATGTCGTTAAAAGCTATGTGGTTCGCTTTCCGCTGCCAGCAGTGTAGCTTTCTGAGGCTTCCTATGGGGTGGAAGGAGGTATAAGTGAGGTTGAATACATGTATTCCGAAGACGACAGGGCAAATGAGGCCTGAGTGTGGCCCGAAGGTCAGCCCACGTGTGCAGGGACCTGACAAAATCTAAATTGACTGCCAAACGTCAGATAGTCTCATAAACAAAGCATTACAGTGCTTACGACGTTTACGCTTTCTAATAATATTTGAATCTCACCTAACTCCAAGGCTTGCCTGCCCACCCTTAGGCCCCTGAACCAGGGATATCATAAGGGGGTTAGTTGAGAACGAAATTAAAAGAATGAGGAGGATTAATGAGGCGGAAAGCTGGTGTCAGGTTGTGAACGCTTCTTCACGGTCCTCACGAACTGGATTCGTGTTCGAATTGCTTTTCCACCTCTCCTTCCATTAAGGCAAACTTAAACATCAGTATATATTATACTCACATTTGTGCCAACCTTAAATTCACAATTTATTGCGTAGGAAATTATCAATGAAGCGCACCGAGGCTTCTCACCGCGTAGAAGAAGGCATTAAGTTGGCCTGGCAGTTCATATACCAGGGTATAAATTAAGGTTCAAGCCTGAGATTTGAAAGCCACTATCTGTGGTGGCTTAGTGTTGCACCAAGCGCCTGTACTTAAAGTAGTTTTATAAAACCAGTAAATGCTGTAGAGCCTGCCTGTCTACCCTCAGGTCTCTGAACCTCTGACTTCAGAAGAGAGTTAGCTGTGGAAGCTTTGTTCGGCATCGTGCCCAGAAAGGAAATGGGGAACGTAAATGAGACGGCGAGCTGATGTC